AGAATCTTTCGGGAAGATTTAGAATCTGTGCTTTTAGACATGTCCCTGGTGATTTCAGTGCACAGCTGATTAGAAGTTTAAGAACCCATTTTATGGTGGGGTAAGCTAGAGTCCAGTGAGGAAATATGAGGCTGTGGAACAAAGCCATGTCTCATAGAGCTTGCCTCAGGTCCAGGCCCTGCATGTGCTATGCTGCTCTGTCTAGAGCCCCATCTACCAGTTAGAATCAAGGAAGTCACTTGCCTAGCATTTGTGGCATTGGTGGTTAATCAGTCACCTCTGAGAGTCTCTCTGTGAATTGACCTTAATTATAGAGAGCTGTCTTCCTCAAGGCCACATTCCCCAATCTGGGAAAAGCCCACATTCAATGATTGCTTGGTGGAGGAATCTAAAGATTTGGTCTCCTTCTAATTTTGGATAATCCTTAAGGGCTGTTCTAGTTCCAGAATTAGTCTAGGAACATATTGGGCCATCTCTGCCTAAGTAAAAGACTAATAATAGTCTCTTCTGCTTTCTGCCATTAAACCAGAGGCCTGATGCTTGTTGGATGGCCTACCTTGCTTGGGAAGGCCATTCTGACCCACATGCATGTGTACTGCCCCTTGTGATTGAGTGGTGGCTCTGAGACAGGTTCAGGCTCTGGTGATCCTGCAGCTTGACTCAACAAGGGTCCAGCATGTCTGCAGTTGGGCAGACCTCTCTGCATTCATGATAACTGTGATGGGAAAAGAAGACTCCTGTGTGCCATGGAGTCACTGGCTCAGCAGGACAACCTGGGTGCTGGAACAAGGCCAGGCCACCTGAAGAGGAGAATGTGCATCTTTTGGGAACTGGAGTGACTTTACAGCCAGAACTGCCCATTGTGAGCTGGGTTCAGTGAATCCAGCAAGTCACAATGCCAGGTGGGCCTGGCAGCAATCCACTGTAAGAGAAAGTAGTCCTCTGGGATCAGGTGCAAGCAGGGCACATAAACCAGACAAGCAGGTGACTCATACACTCATGTCAACCACACTGCAGTGCCACTCACACTGCTCATACTGTGACTGCCTGATGTGTTACTCATGACAAGTGGTGGAGGGGGAAAAGGACTGAGCTTAGTTCATAGTATTGAGGTTTAGTTTGGTATGTGATACCAGCCAAAAATGGATATTGTGCTGCCCAACCCAGGGGTGACCTTGAAAGACTTGAGGGGAAATCCTTCTAATGGAGAGAATTTGGGAAGTTTTCCTGCTCATCTGCTGGTATAGAAAAAAGAGGTGGTGGCCTGAAGCTAAGTTTAGTTCTGTGTCAACTACAGATTATGATAATGTTCAGAGAAGTACACCATTATGTGAACATCACAGACCTAGATAGTACAGCCTACTACACACCTAAGCTGCATGGTACAAACTATGGTACTGCCAGATTTTCTCTGCAATCAGCTTGTGTTGGATTTCCAAAAATTCTTCAGCTACTTTCACATGAGTACTCCCAGGCTCATTGCTCACTTTCGCATCATAACATGAATAATTCTGGAACCACATGAGCCTCCCAGAGCGAGTAGTAAATGCAACGTCATAATGATGTCCAGCATTTTCTTTCACCATCAGAAACTTTAGCTTTGGCAGTGATCATCCTGGTACTGAAAATGATATGCTTCAGTGTTTGGTCTTCAATCCAGTCGTTAGAATTTTCACTGCCTCTGATTTAAGCCCTTCTTGAATTTGTGTTAATCTCATTGCCTTTAACAAAGCAGAACTTTTAACAGCTTGCATCACTTTGTTCTTGTTCTTCAAGATTGTAGCTACGGTGGAATGGGACATGCCTGATTGGCGAGCAGTAACCATCACTGATTTTCCACTTTGTAGTCCTTCATCACTTTTAATTTCATTTCCAGGCCAGTCACTTGATGTTGCCTCTTACTGGCACCATTAGCAGTGGGTGTTGTGTGCTTAGCAGCCGTAATCAGCAAGACAGCATGAGATTAAATCGAGCACAAGAGAAAAACGAGACAATCAAGAAACTTGGCAAACAGGAGACTTCTGAGGCTGCTGCTGTGTAGTACGGACACTGTTTTACAATAACCAGTTTTTCTATAAGTAGGAAGGACACACTCTAATGAGGAAAAATATAGTACGGTAAATTCACAAACTAGTAAGTTGTGGTTTATTATCACTATCAAGTCGTATGTGCCGCACACATAGGCAGACCTGAGAGATACTGCTGGTTCAGTTCCAGATCACCGCAGTAAAACCCCTGTCACAATGAAGAAAGTCATGAATATTTTTGTTTCTCTGTGCATATATATCATACTGTACTGCATTCAGTTCAGTGTGCAATAAGACTATATCTAAAATCAATGTGCAAACCTTAATTAAAAATACCTGATGGCTTTAAAAAATGCTAATTATTACCAGAGCCCTCAGTGAGTCATGTCTTTTGGCTGGTGGAGGGTCCTGCTTGGCTGTCAATGGCTGCTGACTGATCAGGGTAGTGGTTGCTGAAGGCTGGAATGGCTGTGACAATTTCTTGAAATAAGACATCTATGAAATTTGCTTCAATGACTGACTCTCCCTTTCATGAAAAACCTCTCTGGAGCAGGCATTGATGTTTAAGAGAACTTGTACACAGCAGAGCTTCTTTCAAATTGGAGTTAAAATCCTTTCTAATTCTACTGATGCTTTATGAGCTAAGCTTATGTAATATTCTCAATCTTCTGTTAGCATTTTAACAACGTACATAGCATCATTGCCAGGAGTAGGTTCTATTCCAAAAAAAAATTACAACATCATTAGGCAATAGGAACTTTTTACTCCATCTGATTTCATAGAACTACCCTCATATGGGTGATCTGTAGCTGATCAAAACACTGTTATGCTGCATGTGACCATGTGTATGTGGACCCCTACATCCTGACGTGTAGTCTAGATGGTTGGTGAGAGGCATGAAAAAAGAAAGACAAAAACCATCGAGGAAAGAAGTCTGGATAAGGAGCATGGGAATGTACCTATGGAATGGGTGCAGCATGTGAACACATGGTATTCAAGTCCACCAGAGAACATTGGGCTCAAGTGGTGGAGTACTTGCATAGCAAATGCAAAGCCCTGAGCTCAAACCCTGGTACCACCAATTTTAAAAAAGTAAAGAAAAAAGAAAAAAATACCCACTAGAGAATTTGGGCAATAAGAGAGGCACTGACTGACCAATTAAATAGAATGACTTGGCCAATTTACATTGACCAGCTGCTAATATTGGCCACCATAGTGCTGGAACAGTGGAAACATGAACAAAAGAGTCTCAGGGAGCTGGGGTTTGTACTAAACATGGGCCCCATGACAAGGTCTTTCATTCACCAAGACTGATGATGTAGCTGACTGTCCAGCCTGCTAGTAACCAAGGCCAGTGTTTAGCCCCTGCTATTGCATTATCCATCAAGAGTTCCTGTCCCTACAAATCAGGGATGTGTGGGTTTAAAAGTCTTGAATCCCAGAGGAAGAACACATCCACCTTGGTTTCTAGAGCATCTCATCGAACCTCAAGCCATGGCTGTACTCTATCTCTCAAGACTTTTAGGCCAAGAGACTCACAGACAAAGAGAGGAAGAAGTCACCACCTGGGCAGGGGTGATGGACCTTGACCATCAGGAGTTGATGGGGCTGCTTTCCCTCATGAGGAAATTTGGCACTTGTCTGTCTCTTGGTCTTCCCTTTCCCAGGGCTGATGGCAAGGAGGTAAGAGCAGAACCACAGCTAGGTCTTCAGAAAGCATAATGAAGGCTCAATCAACCCCAAAGGCAAGAAACCTAGACCAGCAGAGGTTTTGGTGTATGTAGGGGGATGGGGAGGGGTGAGGGAAAGCTAGAATAAGGGCTTAAGGAGCATAGGTAATAAGCATCATTTATGGCCTAAGAACAGCTGCAGCTGTTGGCGGTTTGGGGGGAGGGGCTACATTTCACCCCACTAACCTTTCTCTTGCAAGTTTCCTGAGAAAATGAGGCTTGAAAAATTCCTTGCAATATTCCAGAACTTATTTATGTAAGCAAATTTATTTCAGCAATGTGAGGAGAGGGTCATGTTGGAGTCTGTTGTGTGTTGCTCAACTCTTTCCTCCCAAAACTGCAGAGCTCCTTCTCCAACTAAAACTGGTTTTCTGCTAAGATTCCTCCATGGGACCTGCCCTCAGCTGAAGAGACGTGCTTTGCTCACAGCCATGCCCTGTGCCCTGCCTGTAGTGCCTGTGTGTGTAGTGGAGGTTGGAAGACAGAGCAGTAAGGTCAAGATGGGGAGAATACTCCAGCTGTGGCAATGGATCACAGGAGAGACTTGGTAAGGAAAGATACAGAGGGGAGGCTTCTGCCCCACTGGCTGAAGAACTTAGGGTCTGGGACAGGAATCGCAAAGCTAGAATGGGTTTTCTGGTTCTATCTGTTTCAGCTTGAATCTCCATGAAGACCAGGTAAACCAAAGACTCCATTGTCAGCAACTCAGCCCCCATCCCCACAATCATACCTCTCATTCCCACCACCATCTTTAGCCCACCACAGTTCAATGCACATTCCCCACCAAAAAATATGACTGCAGACTGCAATAAAGTACACATGGATTTTATATATTCAGAAAAAAATTTTATTCTATCTCAAATCACAAGTCATACCTTGCATTCACAAAAGCAATGCCATCATAAAAACACAAAACATTATCATACTTCTCGTCTTTTCTAGGACCTTTGCAAGAGTCCAAAGAGGTAGGGAGGAGAGGAATCACATGCCCATACTTGGCAGGAACTGAACTGGAACTCACAGAGGGCAAATAATATTCTCAGGGCTTTATATTTTAAAGATGACTGATATTCATGGGAGATACATTTATAAAACTCAAATAACTTAAATGTAACATACTTTTAAAAATTACCAAGTAAAACCCATTCCTTTAGGAATAAGAGTATCTCAGAATGCATTTTAGGAAAGGAAAATGAATCAAGCATCTCTCAGGCTTTGGCTTAGTCTCAAAACAGGTGATTATTTATGGCTTTGGAGTTAGGATTTTTTGGTTCAGATGCTTCATGAAGTCCTGGACCCATTTCTGCTTAGGGTCAGCACAGATCTCCTTATCCAGTTTGGTCTTGAAGCTGTGGAGAGAGAGAAAGCAATCAGAAGACTTTTCTTTGAAAATTCTGCCCATTCAACCCTATGCCTTCCAGGATCATTTACCAAGGGGCAAAGAGGCTGATCTGGGAGAGAAAGGAGAAATAGCAAAAAGATGGGACTCTGGGGTTAGCTGCTGCTTTTGATGGTTCAGGAAAAACAACGGTTCTCTTGACTCAAGGAAACTTGTATGGCCCAAATAAGGTCCCACACACAGACGTGATGCAGACATTTTCTGCTGTGAAAATTTGTGGATCGGATTATAGGTATGCTTGAGGCTGGAACTTTGACACGATTCTTGACTCTATGCCCTAGAAATGAAGTTTTGATCCAGGTGGGAGGATAAGCTAATCTACTCACATCACAGCTGCCTGGGGACATTTGCTGTTGGTGATTCTTCTGTAGCTTTCCAGTCGCTGACGGGAGATCTTCTTACTTGTCACAGCAAAGCAGCAAGTGATTGGGACAATATCTGAATTTGGAGAAAAAAAAATGCCCATCATGTCAAACCCAACAATTGTGCAGGCAGCTGCTCAGGGATGCATTCATCATTGGCCTCAATGATTAGGTCAATGATTAGAAAAAGAAAAAGAGGGAGGGAGAGAGAAGAAAGAGAGAGAGAGAGAACATGGGAACTAGCCTTGGTGGCCACACTTCAGTCTGGCTTAGACTGGATTTGAGGCTGGGATTCTCATCCACTCCAAGACTACTTCCATCTTTGAATTGCAGGGTGTCTGCAGTGAGTCTCTGAAGACCCTTTCTGACCTAATGATTCTGGAGGTGGATAGTGTTCCCCAGAGAAAAGAGGGGGCCTTACCTGGTGCAGGAAGTACCTGGGGGCTGAAGGCAGATGCTGCAATCAGCAGGCACAGAAGGGCTGTGGAGAGCTTCATGGTGGAGAGTATGAGAAAACTTTGGCGTGAGAGTTGGAGGTTTCTGGGTTGGTCTCAGACTCCCTGCTCTTCTAGATAGTAGTACCCCTGCCTTTATAGGGAGCAAAGTGGGTGGGATCTTCTAGAGAAGCCTTTGCCTGCACGGGTCATGATCAAGTCCTGAGTCGTTGACCATGTTCCAGCTCTTGGGAAGACCGCAGGATGGAAGAGATGAGACTCATGTGTGAGACTTGGCACTTGTTTCATCTGTCCTGAGATGGGAAGTGGAAAAAGAAGGGATTGTGTGATTATGAAATGTAATTAAATATTTGTAGCAGGGAAAAGAAGCAAGGAAATTAAGGGCATGGGGAAGTCAGTTGATTTAAGAGCCCTTCTTGCTCCCTGTGTTCACCTAGTGGTCTTAGGGACTTGGGGGGCCCATAAGAGACCCTAACACTTCCACTCGGGTACAGAGACTCTTCAGCAGCTCTAAACTTTGCCTAGTCTTTGTGACCTAGGAAGGGTAGCATATGAAAGCCTCTGTGCTGTGATCCAATGGCCATAGAACCTTAGTGCCTGGAATTATTGTCACTGGACATAAGAAGAAGGTAATTCCTACTGATCTTGACTTCATGGTCATTTTTAAACTACTTGCTTAGCTGCTAAAGCCCTTTTTTAAATTAATCAATACAAACTCCCATACATCAAATGTATGGATCCACAGTGGAGCGGATCCGTTTGTAGTAGAATAGGGAGCACTTCTCCTGTTCTAACACCACAAGGATTCTAGGAACATATTTGGAAAGTCAGTTTTCTGGTGTATCCTCACTCACTGAACCCATGTTGTTGACAAGCTATCTGATGGCTTAAAAACCATCAAAGAGATGAGAAATACAAAAACTCACACTCACCTCTTTGTATATAATAGGCCCCCAAGTAGGAGAGGGTGCAAGCAGAGGCAAAGTCTTTAAAGAGGTTGCTGCAGTAAATTACAGCCTTGAATACTGGCATGGAGCCATGCATGGCTGTCTCCTGGCCTTTCCTGCATACTCCCATATCAACTTGATTGGTTGGCCAGGGTTATATAGACAGATATGTTCAGAAAGAATCTGAGGACTTGCCTGAGTTAGTGGAAAACAGTACTGTGGTTGACTGGTTTCATCTGTCATGGGCACAGGATACATCCATCTAGAATAATGGCTCTATGATCATCTAAAAGGGGACTGACATCAGAATGCCTGGCCTACTCTATTCCTTGCTTCTTAGTTCAGGGTGAGCTAGTCTGGGGTTACATGGTGGGGGGTGGGGCACTGAATCCAGGGGTCCTGAGTTTGGATGATGGCTTTGACAAGCTTTGATGCCAAGGAGAACTTACCTAACCACACTGTGCTAGGTTCAGATGTATGTGTTTATATTATTTGTATATATGCATATATAAATATGTTTATATGATATAAATAATACACATATTAATCCACATACAATATTATATATGTGTATCATTTTATATATTTATATTGCATATATTGCATACTTTATGATTTATATCACATACTTTATGATTAGGAAGTGGGATGGATTTTATAGACCAGAGAATGGTACAAAGAGACTGTGGATCTGGGCAGATGACTTCCTCCAGATATTCTCCCAAATGTCCCACTGCTTCCAAGTAAAGACAATGCTACCCTAGGGATGGCTTCCAGGAATGCCTGAGTTGAACATGTGAGAGATACGAGGTCTCAGAAATTGTGTCAACACAATAAATTTGGAGCATTCTTGACCTCAGAGGTGCTTGGCTGACATGGTTAAGTGATTATATGTGCTCTTAGCAAGAATAACTTCATAGCTCAGTTGGGAGTTTAGAGGCATCATCATCAAATGACTTCCCATTTTTACATTTTTCTCCCTGTGCTGTGGATTCTTGATCTCGACCTCAGAAAACTCAGAATAAATAAAATAAATCATGAGGCATCCAAGTTCTGCAGCTGATCCATCCAGCTGTTTGTCTCTCACAAGCAGGGACAGCTGTGCTATCTTCTAGTATTGACAGAGAAAGGACCCACCATTTACCTATGATTTTGTGCCTGAAGAATGGGGGGGCCTTAGTCAAGAAAGACCCTAAGAGATGAGAAGGCAATGGGTCCCCCACTGAGAAAACAAAGTCTTGGCTTCTTCATTGTGTACTAAGGAATGACAAGTGATCTGTGGGAAAGGATGCTGGTAATCAGTTCTCCTGGCAGTGATTCACTCTGCTCCAGATTGCCTCTTTTATGGCCAAGTCATTGGCTGGGGATGTAGCTCCATGGAAGAGCTTTTACTGAGCATGCACAGGGCCCTGGATTGACTCCTCAGCAGCACAAACAAAACAAAGTCATAGACAAACTTGAAAGACACATATACATTTATTTTATTCCAACCCTCTCTTAAAAAACAATCAGGAGCCAAGGCGTGGGGACTGGTGACAGAATCCTAAAAGTTACTCTGTGCATTTTGGGCAGAACTGATCTGAGAGCTCACAACCTTGTGAACTTTTGCCGCACTGCGGCTTTCACTTGTTTTCCTTTGTACAAAACAAGACCGAGTAAGCTTTGACTTGTCTTTTCCAAGGATTGCTGAGACCATATCTGCAGTTTCTTGTCACTTTTGGAGGAAAGTTGCCCCACATTCTTTGTTATTATAAAAATTGTTAAGTGTGTCTAGCCCCTAGCACATTGTCACTAACGACATTAATCCACGGAGTCTATGCAATGCATTATATTATTTTATTTCCCATGAGTTGGCTTATTTAATCCTCCCAACAAATCCAGGAAGTAGGTTTTCTAATTTATTCAAAGTACATCCACCTAGAAGACAGAGATTAAGTATCTTCTGCTTCTATGAAACCATTTATAAAAGTGCAGCCTGCTTCCCAGGCTCGCCTTGAAGAAAACCCAAGCTTTTTTTTATTTGAAATGTTTTTCCTGTTACATGATTTCATTTAATCCTTTGGGGGCAATCTTTCGTACAAAAGCAAGATACACAATGCTGGACTTACTTCCCTGGGCCTGTGGGTTGTGGTACTGCTGACCTACCTTCACGCAACAGCACCAATCTCAGGGGATCTTGCAACTCGTATTTATTGGTTGTTTGTTTTATAGCCAGATATTGGTTAAATAGCTTTCTGAAAGTGCTCTCTCCTAAGGAGTGACTCAGAAATTAAGGCTACCTACAAACTACAGTGGTAACCTAGACCACATGGTCTCTAAATTCACTGAGGCAGGGGAAAGGTTACTGGATTATGGGCATGGAAGCAGTTGACCTCATTTCTGCCAGTATACCATTGACTCATCAGTGTGTTGGCCAAGGAGACTAAGGAAAGAAGAGGAACACATGAATGTCCAGTCAGGAGTAATAGTTTCTATAACAGTCTGTCCTTTGCCCACCTCTCATACACAGAGAGCACAATTAACCCATTCCCAAGAGAGGCAACTCAAAATCCCATGGAGTCAACACACCATCCTAAATGTACAGGATCTCTGGATGATGGCTGGTCCTTCCTGACAGGTGAGGGTGTGGATTCACCCTGCCCAGTGGCCTGTGCACTAAAAGGACAAGTGATTTATAACCAACATACCAAGTTTTAAAAGCACAGCACATTTACAACCTTCATTCATGGAGGAAAAGATATTCTGTAACAATCCTTCAGCCCTTTGAGGAGATGCTATAAAGGTCTCCACCCTTAATATAAAACAGGCTTGGCTCTGCTTTCTGGAGAAACTCTTTTTTTTTTTTTCATGGCACTGGGGTTTGAACTCAGGGTCTCATCCTTGCTAAGCAGCCTCTTGAACCTCTCTAACAGCCCTTTTTTGTGATGGTGTTTTGAGATAAGGTCTCACAAACTATTTTCCTGGAGTTGGGTTCAAACAATGATCCTCTTGATCTCTGCCTCCTGAGTAGCTAGGATTATAGATGAGAGCCACCAGCTCCCACCTGGGGAAACTCTTTTGATCCTGGCTTCTGGTTGCTCTGGGATGTCCCTCATTTTCTGTTCTTCCCTTTGACTTCCTCTGCAGTGTGTGTTGTACCACACATTGCACCCAAGCCCAAAAGAATATATTTCAACTATCTTTGTCAAGGCTTAATTTTAATTTTTAAGGAATTCTAGACTCACGTATCTTCACATAGACAAGGACCACAGTCCCTACCCAACACTACCCATCAGAATCTTTGGTGATGGTATTTACAGATTTGTGCTGATTTTGTTGTAGTTGTTAGGTGTCTAAGTGATGTTGATACCAATATGACAGCCATTGGCCTATACATCTCTGTTTTTGGAGGTCTATTCATGTTAGTAAATAGCCCAAGTTTACTAGGTACATTAGTGACATAGCCAGTTGAATCTTTGTGTCCCACTACCATTAAGGTCACCACCCTAGAGGAAGAGAAAGGTTGAAGTGTAAGTCATTTGTAGGGACTAGGTCTGGAAATGCTTCATACTATTTTGGTCACATAGCCCCAGGTAAATGCAGTTCACACTTGGGACTCTAACTTTTGAGGACCATTTGATGTGCTGTAGGACTGGAGTTTGTTTTTCATTTTGAATTGTCAATAGTTTTTTTGTTTTGTTTTTTGGTTCAGATTCACTTGTGGTTTCAAGTTTCTTTCTAAACGTGCTTTTCAAATTCTCTCTCTCTCTCTCTCTCTCTCTCTCTCTCTCTCTCTCTCTCTCTCTCTCTCTCTCTCTCTCTTTCTTTCCCTGTTTCCTTAATGAGACCAAGGTTTGAAATGGCAACTTCAATCTGATATTTGCCTTATGTTGCTTTATCCAACTAAGAGTTTTTCCTGGACTTTTTTTTGGTGCATTTTAAATGGATTTCATCATGACATTTTCATACATGCATATTATGTACTTTGATCAAATTTTCTCCCATGTTACCCTCTCTTGTTCCCTCTCCCCTTCCTTCTTGTCCCCTTCATCTTACCAAATAGTGCCTCCCCTCATGTGCTTTTTTGAAAACTCTAGATTTTGCAAATAAGAGCAA